TTTCAACAAGCGGGCCTGACCTAGGGTGAATTTTAAATAGGGATAATTTTTAATGATTTTAAATAGTCACAGTCACTAATATTTGGATTTTAATTGGTTTTTAGAAGGGGTAATTCTGTATATTGTTTTAACATGCTGTGAGCCGCCCTGAGTCCCATGGGGAGAAGGGCGGCATATAAATTTTGTAAAATAAATAAAAAAAAAAATAAATTTGGGAACACAGTGGGTAACATTGTTCTGTTCAAACTGGGTCTTGGTGATATTCAAACCTTCCTCTATTAGTCCTAGGGTTTGATCACCAAGTTTAGGTTTGGAGATGGTTGAGCAAAATTTTCCACCTTATATTTGTTTACTGTTGTGGGTTTCTAGTGTGCATGAAAATAGATTCTCTGTCCAAGCAATATTGTTATAGACTCTATTTTGTTATGTAAATCACTCATATCTCTTAGATCATTTGTGTGAAGGCAGTTCTAACAAAGTTTATAAATTGAATAAACAACTAGATACTGAATGCTAAGCTTTTTCCTATTTCCTATCCATTAGCACAAAAGAACTCTATTACAGTAATTCTCCTTAAATACAGAACCTAAACTCAGATATGCAGATTCGTGGGAAACCAAAAAGAAATAATTAATACAAAATATCAGAAATGGACATCACCTTATAACATATGTAACCATATTGTTGCTTGGCTTGGAATAGTCTTGCTCTCATTCAGATCCCAAGAAGAGCCACGAAGTGCCACCTGGAAAGTGCTTTTGTGTATATGTTTCTGGTTAATCTAGTAATTTTTTGTTAATTAAATGTTTCTGCTCATATGAATATCAAAAAGTGCCTCTCTTGAATCTAACCAAAGGTGTCTACAGTTTGGTGTTAGTTACAGTGAGTGGGAATGATTCAAATGGTTTCAGACAGATTTTTCCAGTTCTTTTGAAGTTGCTAAGGCTTCAATGTGGCATCTTCTTTATGCAAAACTTCTGCTGTATCAGAAGGAACAATCCTGTTCCTGAATCACTATTTAAGAACTTTTTAACTCTAAAAGGCATCTCATGGCTTGGATCATCAGTATTAAAAGTCCGAGTCTATTATAAAAGCCAGTTATAGAAGCAGGGCCATCTCTTCTCTAAATAGAGTGTGTGTCCCATAGAGTGTGGCTGTAGTGTTATTATTTATTCCTTTTATTATCTTCTTTACTTCCCCCTTTTATTGGTGGTGGTATTATTATTATTATTATTATTATTATTATTATTATTATTATTATTATTATTATTATCATCATCATCATCATCATCATCATCATCATCTGTTGCCTTGCATGTACACCAAGTGCATCTGTACCGGAGACGAACTCCTTGTGTGTCTAGTGTCTAATCACACTTGGCCAATAAACTATTCATAAGTTAAGTTAAGTTAAGTTTAATTTATGTTATGTCCAAGATCAGTCTTTACTTCGAAATAATGTCTTTTCAATACCGTCTAGTTTAAGTAGACATTAATAATCGACATATGTATATTGTTGTGGAGGTTGATCTATTAAATTTTTCGATCACCAACGTAACGATTTGAACAAAGTAAAAGGAAACAAATAACCATAAGTCCATTTAATTTAGTGTTATCAGTTTATCCTGCAAATCCCCAAAATGGGTTAACTTAGTGACCAAATTAAATTTGTGTTGAGAGCCCAACCCCAGAATATTCATGCAAAACCATGCCCTTGGTGGAAGAAGCCCCTTCTTAGAATGCCCTCTTTCTTATCGGACGGAATGGGTTTTCTGCTATTCATTGGGTTCTCTCCCATCTTTGTACCAAGGAATGATTGCCAGATACGTTTTACAACTTTTTCCCAAAGAAAAAGTTTTTCCCATTTGCCCCCTTCTCTTTTTCTTGGCATTAAAACATATTTGTTTCAAAACATTTTGCTGGAGAGGAGTTTTACTCTTTATCTGCGTTACTTTCTACTGTGATCATTTCCCCCTCTGTTCTTGTTACATTAAAATAGTCTCATTATATTTTTACTACTTCATTTTCTGTAGGATAATTTGGATACTATTAAATAAAGAACAGGCATAAATATTTAAAATAAATACATGACAACCAGGAATTCTTCTGGAGCATGATGAGATAGTGTTCTTACTGGTTACTTATTCTTCCTCAATCACTGTTGTCTCCCATTGTTGAGTGTACTTGTAGCTGTGGCAATAATAAAAAAGCAAAAGTAACTCTTTTGGAGTCCAATTAAAAATTTCTGTGATCCTACACCGATTCTCTAGGAAAGAGGATAAAGAAAATGGAATATCTAAATGGAAAGAAATTCCTCACCATATTAACCTTATTCTTTCCAACACAGTTTGATAAAAATTCTTGCCTTTTACTTGGTTTTTCTTATTTCTCTGTCTCTTTGGAAACACCTGGGCTTGCTTATTCAAAGAAGCTGGGGTGATAAGATTGAATTAATGAAGAGGACTTGGCTGGGGGAATGGTCTGGAAAAGAAAAACTTAGCTAGACCCTTCTTTGCCCATCTAAACTAGTGTCCAACATTATGGCACAATTAGTCGGAGGGCAGGCGCAGACTCTAGAAAAGCTGAGGGGAAGCCGCGCCCCACCACCCACAGAACAAGAAAGTACCCTAGAGGAGGACGTGGAAAAGGGAAAAAGGAGGCGGCCCCACCCAGGGGTACACCGTAAGTGACTGCTTTGATTCCCTTGCCAGGCCTAGGTGATCTCAAGTGGGAGGTAGCTGAGGGGCAAGATTCTTCATCGGGCCCCCAGAATTTTTAAAGATCTAAATCAGGGGTCCTCAACCTTGGCAACTTTAAGACTTGTGGACTTCAACTCCCAGAATTCCTCAGCCAGCAAAGGAATTCTGGGAGTTGAAGTCCACAAGTCTTAAAGTTGCCAAGGTTGAGGACCCCTGATCTAAATGGTCAGTTTTTTCCCCTCTCTCATCTCTTCTAAAAATAAACTTATCTCAAAATGAGGCCCCATTGGAAGGCTGAGGCTACCAGAAAATTCTTTTGGCCTTCTACTTCATATCAGTTTTCAGAACACCCGCTCAGGGAGTAGAAAACTTCGGGAATGGCTCGTTATTGCACAAGGATAACAAGTTGGGCCAGATAGCTAAAATAATTCCGCTTGAGTGTTGGAATGATTCTTGGATCAAAGTCCAACAGAAAAAGAGACAAAAATGAGGAATGAAAACTAGCAATAGAGAGAATTCTCTAGAAGTTCCTTCCTCTTTTTTCCCCAAAGTAAAAATCCTTAAAAGATTATTTTGGGGGGGCTTCCTTCTGGCCTTGTGTAAAGTTCTTTCTGGGGAGGAGACAGAAGTCAGTATGAGGATCCTTGGACAGAATTAAAGGGTGGTGCTCTTGGAGTAAATGAGAAACTACACTACACTGAATTGACCTTCCTATTCTTTTGATCTCCAGCTATCTGGATGCCATCTATTATCATCGGGAATTGTTGTGCTATTCCCTGGATAAGCTACGGGTGGACTTGCTCACCATCACATCATGTCATGGCATGCAGGAGAAGCGGGAGGCTCGACTGGAAAAGTTATTCCCAGACAAGAACACACCCCGACCACACTGTTTTGTGGGAAAGAGAGTAAGTTAGTTGATGCATGTGAGAGGTAGAATACACAGCTGTGGAAGCTGCTGAACTGGCTGTGATGCAATAGGTTATTCAGAAAGAGCCATGGGTCTACAACTGCTATGGACGAGATAGGAAGGCAGTTGTGACTGCCCGTTCCTTGTTTCAGTGGGGGATAAACCATCAAGTGTCTTCTGACATTACTATGTCATTGCTTTGCCCACATCCATCAAGATAATATAACACTTCTCCTTAGTTTGCTTCCTCGTCTTGTTGCTCTTCTTCTATGGTCTCATTAATTTTTTCCCCCTGATTTTTCATATTTCACATTGCTTTTTTTGGCTCTAATTACCTCTTCCTTATTTAATTAAAAACTCTTCTTTGTAATTGCTTATTTATTTTTCTCTCTCTCATTTCTCTTTCACATTCTTTGTTCTTCTGATGGTCTGTGAGTTTCTATTTGCTTTTTGAATGCCTGTTTTTGAAAACTATCCTTTTCAAATGATTTTCTCAATAATTTTAGGGCTCAAACTATTTCTTTCTGCTTCTCTCTTCCTCTTTTCTGTTTGTATCTTAGGGTGATCCCGAAGATAGGAGTTCTCCCTCTTTAATTTCTGTGCTTAACAGAAAAACAGTACTGATTATAAATAATTATGTCATAAACAGATGGGAAACAAAATTATTTTCAGGGCTTACGGTCATTAAGGAAAGCTAGAAAGCTTTTGATTTTGAAAGATCACTAATACTTTTGCACTTCTCCTCTTCCCGATCCCCTCACCCTGTGATAGGTATTCTTTCTGAGCAGCAGAGTACATCCTGGGGAAACACCCTCTAGCTTTGTGTTCAATGGATTCCTGGAATTCATACTGAGGGAGGAGGATCCTCGGGCCCAAATGCTGCGTCGTATGTTTGTCTTTAAGCTCATCCCTATGCTAAATCCAGATGGAGTGATGCGAGGACACTATCGGTAAGTATCCTGCAGACATGTAGGCTTTGGAGGATGGGTCTTGGACAGGAAGAAATTCTGGTTCCCTGTGACTGATTGTAATCTATCCACATTTAGCTTTTACAGCAGATTACTATTGCTTGGAGGCTGAGAAAGAGCAACAGGCTAAGGCCAATAGATGTGGAGGGGGGGGCTCCTCCCTAGAGTAGATCCTTGTTTTTCCATTTTGCCTTCCTCCAGTTTTAAGGGAATTGTAGATTCAGAACAAAGGCTTGAAATGTTCACATGAGCAATATCTGCTTTGCTCTCAAAACAACAGCCAGTCCAAATCTCTGAGCCTGTGAGGCTGCCTAGCCACTGATCTAACGAACAAAAAACGAGGATAGTTTGATGGTCAGCAGTATCTGATCCATTTCACAGATACATTGTAATTGCCTCCTAGCTCTATATGTGGTGGGGACAGGGGCTGCTTGGATCTCTTAATCTAGGATAAAAATTTAACTGAGCAGTCTGTAAATAATGTGGGACATGGCTGCAGAAGACAATAGTTGCAATTTCCCTTCCTTCACAAGTGGAAGAATGTCTTAATTTGTTTGCCATCTTGAGTTATTTGTAAAAATAATAAAAGCAGGAAATTAGATAGATAGATAGATAGATAGATAGATAGATAGATAGATAGATAGATAGATAGATAGATAGATAGATAGATAGATAGATAGATAGATAGATAAATTTGTGTAGCTGTGTTCAAGATCCACAAGAGACATCTTTTCCCAGTCCCATTCATCATGATTTATTCTGCTTCCCACAGGACAGATGCTCGTGGAGTTAATTTGAATCGTCAGTATTTGAACCCTGATGCAGAGCTGCATCCTGCTGTGTATGGGGCCAAGGCTGTCATGCTCTATCACCATGTTCACAGCCGGATGCAGCCGGATTCTCCTGATTGGCGAACCTATGCTTCTCCGCTCAACACAAAAATAGCCAATCAACGTTCTACCCGCAAATGTCCCCATAGTGAAGACATCCCTCTTTCTGAGCTGGAAAAATCAAACAACCTTCACAACTGTTCCACAGAGTTCTGTATCACCTCATCCCAGGACCTTGAAACTTCAGAGGTACCAGGAAGCAAAGACCATGATGTCTGGATCCTTTCAAAAGAACTGTTATCTGAGCACTGTGAGAATGAAGTTGAGAATCCTCCACCAGCCCCAGAAACCATCTCACCTCAACAGAGTGGTCTGGCTTACTATGTTGATCTGCATGGACATGCCTCTAAGCGTGGCTGTTTCATGTATGGGAACAACATTTCTGATGAGAACTACCAGGTGAGACATATTCAGCCCCTCTAGCAATGCCTTGGACAACACAGGCAAAATTGGGCTTTTGCAGGAAGAATTCTCTATTGTATAATCCCAAGAACAAGACAGAAAGGATTAGAGGCAGATAAAGAGTTCCATATTTGGCTCCTACAAAATGAGTTTAGACTTACTAAGGATGTTACAGATAGAGATAAAGTGGCTTCAGGGACAAAACAAAGGGGATGTTTTTGTGTATGCCTCTTTTGCTTTTCTCTCTAATTAACTTCTTTGTAGGACTGGGTTTGGAGGGTTACAGCAGGGGTCGCCAACCTTTCTGGGTTGGTGACCCAGTGGGAAAGGGAGGGGCAGGCACCTCTATGCCCACATGTGCACACACGCAAATGTGGCTGCGTGCGCATGCACACGAATGGGGCTGTGAGCATGCACACTCCGCAAATGGGGCTGCTAGTGCCAGTGCATGGCTCGTGGCTCAGCTCGTGCCGGCGTGCGGCTCGCGGCTCAGCTATCGCTGGCGAGAGGCTCATAGCTCAGCTAGCACCGGCACAAGGGGGTGAGCGTGCGCACCTGCACGCGTCCATTGCCAGCCGCTCACGCAGCCCAGTGGCCAAGAGGCTACAGCCCAGTAGTGGGTCACGGCCCATAAGTTGGGGAACAGAATCAACTGAGATTCTCTGACTAAACCAATAAATATTTTCTTCAGGTGCCTTTCAGACCAAAAGATGATGTCAAGTTCCAATGTGTGTTGGTTCTCTTTTATAACTTCCATGCTGATGATGTTGCTTGACCATGACACATAGTCTTCTGAGGGTTTCATGTACTGTGTTTGTTTGTTCAATTGTTAAACCTAATCACCATGAATTGCTTTCTATAGTAGGCTGAATCTCTTTATTACTGTTTTCAGTTTCTTTGGCTAGATTGTTGCTTCCCAGTCTGACGAGAAGTAAAACTGCCTGTTTCTGTAGCATGTCAAAATAGGAAGAGATTTGTGTCTCTAGTTTCTCAATTGCTTTTACAGGTTGAAAATATGCTATTTCCTAAGCTCATCTCCTTGAACTCTGCTCATTTTGATTTCACGGGGTGCAACTTTTCAGAGAAGAATATGTATGCTAAAGACAAGCGGGATGGACAATCAAAAGAGGGCAGTGGGCGTGTGGCCATTTATAAAGCCTCAGGCATCATTCACAGGTTTGTGCTTCAATGAGATACCAACTCCTGATCGCAATCCTTGGTTCTGTAGGTCTGTTCCTTTTCTCCCACTTCCATACCGCCAATATCTACAAAGTTCCTGCCACTTTAAGAATCTGCTAGATCAAACTGAAGCCAGAGAGAAGAAATTCCCACAAGTAGAGTAACGTTGAGAGAAAGCTCATTAGGGAATCCTGGCAGCATAAGTGGTAACTCTAGTGCCATGGAGTGAGTTTCCCAGTGCTAAATAGTTGGCCTCCTGAGGAAGGCTGAGATTTGTATAAACACTAATTTAAGTTCTATCTAACAACATATGGCAGGAATCCATATTTGAGCAGAGGTATATATTATTGCTTAGGATTATCACATGCTGATCCTTTTGGTGCTACCAACATATCTCTTTTTCATCTAGGAATAACATGAGGCCAAGGTCTTTTCATTAGCATTTTGGTTGTTAGTGTTTTCAAACTTGGCAACTTTTAAGATGTGTGGACTTCAACTCCCAGAATTCTCAGCCAGGCTCCTTAAAAATTTCCCTGTAAAGGAGAGCTTTAATAGATTGCTACCAGTTAGATTGACTTTTTTTTTGATACATTCTAATTTGTCTACCTGAGGTGTACTCAGCTTTTCCACCTAGGACCGCTCTCTTAGGCTTAGTTCTGAGAAATCCAGAAGACAGAGAATTTAACAAACCTTGCATCAGTGCTAAATACAAGCGGTAGCTATACAGCACTGTGGTCTGGCAGATGGGAAAAATTAAAGAAAATTTCTTTTTTTAAGTTAGTGAAGCCAAATATTTAGTTATAAAAAGATGCTTACTGGAAAAAGAGGAATGCAGAAAAAGAAGATTAAGCAATAACCATGAGTGCAATCAATCTATCTGAATTAGCTATTAATAATTAACTGCCCAAATCAGAGCTTGGATTTTAACACAATTAAAATTCACTGCAATTGGAGAAAAATCATTGGGATCCCTTAAAGGTCTTCTCCTTTTGCTCCTGTTGGCTGAATGCTATTCCAGGTGTATGGAAGATACAATGAAGAGAATTAAAAGAAAGCTGGCTTCTTTGGGGAATCACAATTGGAAGAGATTGCAAAGGTCATACAGTTCAATTCATTGCTCTGTGCAGAGAAATGGATGCTTTTCTTAATCAGAGCAAGCAGAATGTTCCATTTCTGATGTCAAGAGTCTAACAGTAAACCATAATATTATTTGATGGCTGAATCTGTCTTTTTTACTAGCACATAGTTGAATAATAAAAACAAGTTATTTTTTCCCAGTCATGCTATTGCATGGAAAAGTCTGTATGGGAGAAAAAAAATTATGAATTCAGTGTATTAAAACCTTTCACCATGGAGTTACCTATCAGATGTTTTCAGAATGTGTCATATTAAAAACTAAGAATTAGTTCATAATTTGCATTAACACTAGTAACCTTTTCTATCTGTTTTCTAGTTACACACTGGAATGCAATTACAACACAGGAAGATCAGTCAATACTGTTCCAGCAGCATGTCACGATAATGGGCGGGCAACGCCTCCTCCTCTCCCAACATTCCCATCCAAATACACCGTGGAACTGTTTGAGCAGGTATCTCAGGCCACCCCAGCCCAGATTCAGTGTTAGATTAAGTCACCATGTTCCAGGACACGTGGAAGAGTAGTCTAAACTCCTGCACTAGGAAACATCCTCCTATCCAGGGAGAAGTGGAAGCAGTATTTGCAAAGAGCCTTCAGGACTATTTATTTAGCCTATACAGTATATGCAAGGGGGTGCAATGTCTTCGCTCTATCTTGCTCAAACCCTAAACACACAGACAACTCTTCGTACCATGATTAATTCAGAGGAAAGCATTTGTAGCCTTTGGATCTTGGGGTTATAAAGTTGGCCAAATGGCAGATTCTTATGTCGCAAAAGTGTTAGGAGTTTCCCAGAACTTCAGCATTTCAGGGAGCTGTGCCGAGGATGTGTTTTTAGATTTTCTTGCTCTGGCTCTTCAGATTCAGGAGTAAGTGTTTGGATACTGTTCTTTCTTGAATGCCAACAAATTGCACATCACAGACTGAAAAGTGCAGCCACATGAAAAATCATTTTATCATAAACTCATTGTGAGGGCTCCTTGAATACTGGCAGTTGATGGAACTGATGATTTATTTTGATTTGCTGCTGCTGTAAAATGTAAAGTGATTTACTTTGGGACTAACCATTCTCAGCCAAGCATAACAATGGCTCAGCAGTTAAAGACACTGAGCTTGGCAGCTGGAAAGCTGACAGTCCAGGTTCGAGACCCTAATGCCCTGTGACAGTGTGTGAGCTCCCATTATTCCCCCAGCTCCTGCCACCTAGCAGTTCAAAAGCATGCAGATGGGAATAGATAAATAAGTACCACTTTGATGGGAAGGTAACATCTTTTCATGCATCTCGGGTGTATAGTTGTGCTGGCCACATGGCCATGGAAATGTCTTCAAACAGTGCTGGCTACCTCAGCTAAGAAACGGAGATAAGCACTGCTCCGTAGAGTCAGACATGACTGGAAAGAGGAAACCCTTACCTTAAAATTGGGAAAATTGAACAATATGATGCCTTTACCAAGTGGGAAGCTGATTTACAACGAACAGCATAGGAATCATACTATGTTCTACCCGATATGCTGGGTCTTTTCTTCAAGTTTTTTTTTTTTTTTTGCTTTTGTGTACTCTGAAACATATAAGCCAAACGTGCAGTACACAAAACAAATCATGGAATTGGGACACAATTTGGTACTGAAAGGACATGCTGGAGATTGGCTGGCCTTATCTTCAGTTTAATTGATGCCAGCGACAGGGTGCCTCAGTATTGTTTTCTTAACTTATTGATCAACATGATATAAGTATAGGAGGCACATCACATATTTTGAGGCCTTTAATAAAGCTCATCACCCTTTACTTGTAGGGGTATACTTAGCAATTGTTTAAGGTGGGGGTATTTCCAGTTTTTGTTAAATGCAGGGTTCCTACTCTAGATTTAAAAACAAGCGGAAAAACACAAACAAGGCCTGAATTTTAACAATCTACTGCCATCCTCCATATACAGGTTGGAAGGGCCTTAGCAGTCGCAGCACTGGATATGGCAGAATGCAACCCCTGGCCTCGGATTGTCCTCTCTGAACACAGTTGCCTTAGCAATCTGCGTGCCTGGATGCTGAAACATGTGCGCAGCATGAGAGGAGTGACAGGCTACTCCAAGAGGAAGGGTACCAAAACCCCACCCAAGGGGGGCAAGTACGTGACCAGATGGGGATGTAGGTTCAATGAAAAAAGCAAAGCTCATAGGAAAGGGAACTGGAAGAGGCAAAGGACTATCTATAGGAATTCAGGATTGGTTTCCACAAATCTTTCCCTGACTTTAGTCCTGGACTGCCTCAGTCTCTTTATTTGCAGCTTTGCTGCATGGAAAGTATATCTGCAGCAAATACCTGGAAAGTTATTATACCAGTGATGGCGAACCTTTTAGAGACCGAGTGCCCAAACCGCAACCCAAAAGCCACTTATTTATTGCAAAGTGCCAGGGCCGCATCAGCATTGTGGTGCCCTCGGGGGGGGGTCATGGGGGCGTGGCCCACTGGGTGGGCATGGCTGCAGTTGTCATGGCAGACTGGGTGGGCGTGGCTGAGTTGGGCATGGCCACCTCGATTTTGCTCATGGGGGGGATGCCTGTGGGGGCTGGGCAGGGTTCGGGGAGATCCAGAGGGTCTCTGGCGGGTGGGGCGGTGGGCTGGAGGCCCAGCATAGATGGAGGGGAGGCACGCAATCCTAGCTGGGACTGGGGGGCCATGGCGCCAATGGGGATTCGGCTTTCCCTGCTCAGGGTGGACTTTGGCTTGCTGGGTGTGGGCGTGCTCTACCACCTATCCTTGAGCTTGCTAGCTGGCCGCTTCACCTCCTTTGTGCCTGGTGGGGCTGCCGCTCTGGGAAGCGGTGGTGGCCTAATGGACCTGTGCAAGCTGCTGGCAGTGGTGGTGTGCGTGCCCACCGAGAGGGCTCTGAGTGCTGCCTCTGGCACACGTGCCATAGGTTCGCAACCACTGTATTATAACCTTCCCTTGCCTTACATTCAATTAGTCCTAATAATGGAATAGAAACTTTCTACCTGTAGATTATTTTGTCCCAATGTTTTTTTAAAAAAATAATCTTTGAGAGAAGAGGTGTTTGTGGCATTTGAAATTGCACATATTACCTTGCAGTTCCAATCCTTCTTATGACTGAAAGGAGAATAGAAGAAAGGCTAATATTCTAAAAAGGGGACCTGAGAAGTTAAATGATAAACCTGAAATCCCCATTGATTTATATTCAATTTGGAAGAATGCCTCCTCCTCTAACTTAACAACAGTTCTATTCAGATTTCAGAGAAAGGGGCCTAGAACAAAGAAATGGTACTTTGTTCTAGTACTGTTTTCTCTTGTATTGTTTTATATGATCTGCATTATTCTCTTCTAATACCTGCACTGGAGAGAACACTGCAATACAGTTTTTAGCAATAAAATGATTGAAACTACATTTAAGAAACATGGCAAATTTATCCTATGTTAACAGATAATGTTAACAGATAATGTTGCTTTGTATTTTGCTTTGTATCTGATTCCCTTTTGACTCCTGATGATTGCCTGGACAAGTCCCTGACCTTCATTGGAAGTGATTTGCCCTTGCCTTTTTCTAGGACTGAGGTTGAGTTGCCTACCCCAGTTGCCTAGCTGGCTGTAACTAAAGTGGGACTAAAACCCAATCTCCCAGTTTCTAACCTGATAGCTATAACTACATATCAAACTAGCTATCACTGTATATTTTATTTTATTTTATTTTAGTTTAGGTTTAGCTTTTTTTCAGACCCATTCTACCCTGAATTAAGAGATTACAGAGTTGTAAAAACAAAACAAAACTCAAGATGATGAATATATTTAATATTCCTTCCACCTCCTATTTTCCCCACAACACTCTGTGAGATGAGTTGGGCTGAGAGAATTTATTTTATGTTAATTTTTTTCGGGTTTATATGCCTTACTATCTTAAAACAATTCTGGGCAGCTTATAATAACACTATAAGAATATATAAAAACTAAAAAACAAAAATCATCACTCCCAGGGTGCCGTAACAACTCTCCTTACTCACTCTGGCCCAGTGCCTGGGTAAGGAGCCAGGTTTAAAGAAAAAGGAGGTGAGCAGGAGAGGAATAGACTAGCAGTTACAGTTGTATATGGGAACTCAGACACTGTGCTTAAGCACCATGCAAAAGGTTTCAGAAGGACTACTTTAGAATAAGTCATTATATCTCAGATGCAACAAATAACTCTTGCAGGGGCGTTGTGGGAAGAGCTGCCTTATCTCTGATTCTTTTTTTATATATATATTTTCTCCCAGTGGGATTTCTGCTTCCAGCTCAGAGAATTCTCTCTGCCGAGCCAGGAGCTTCAGTAATGGTAGTGTCAATCAACAAGCTACCCCTCACGTCAAGACCTCACCCAGCTTCACCTTCAGCTCCTCTCACACCCCCGCCTCCTCGGGGGGCTTGGGGCAGAGCCCTCGGAAAGGTGCCTCAAGGGTGCTGGCCCTTGTGCGAGGTAAGCTGCCTAACGAATCTGTGCTGGGAGCATTCAGATGGATCTGGGAATGGATGTGCTGTGGAAAGAGGCAGCCTTAAAAGAACATTATTTCTTCTTAATTTTTCTCATGAAATAAACACGTACAAGAATCTTGCACAAGTTTCCCCTGTGTCAATCCAAGCCCCCTTTTTCCTTTCACGTGGTACTTGCATATAGCACTGGATAGAGATGTCACTTGATAAGTTGTGAACTATTGCCTCATGAGACAGCTGCAGGAAAATGGCCTCCTCTAGCAATATGTTGGGTACTTTGAAAAAGGTTATGGAGCCTCCTCTTTTCAACCTCTCATGAGATATACTCTGTTCCAACCCTTCAGGCTGTTGTTTTGTATTGATTGATTTCACCCTGCTGAGAAGCTTTAGGTTAGTGTCTATGCCAGTGATGGTGAACCTTTTAGAGACCGAGTGCCCCAAAACTGCCCTGCCCCACCCACCCCACCCCGCCCTGCCCCTAGCCCTGCCCGCCTACAGGGCCACCCACCTCCACGGCCCACCACAGATCGCCCAGGTGACCCAGCAGCACCATGGCCACGCCCTCCGCTCGCACCCCACAGCATCATCTGCGCATGATGGGGCACAAGGGTGGAGTCTTGTCCCCGCTGCCCAGCTGCTATGTCCTTGGCTGCACTGTTCCACGCGGGCCGCACCCTGGGGCGACTCTCCTTCAGGGAGGCTGCTGGGGAGGGGGCTGCGGGGGGAGGCAGGACTGGGGGGACGGCGCATGTGCCCACAGAGAGGGCTCTGAATACAGCCTCTGGCACGCGTGCCATAGGTTTGCCACCACTGGTCTATGCCAATTTTGTCCCCAGTATAACTTATTAAACTAATAGGGGATAAAGTTCATAAAGCAAGGATCTGGGTCTGAATTCTTCAGCTCTAAATCCCAACCTAATATATATAATGAAGTGGGTAGCAAACTATCATACTAGAAAAATCTCCCTTTATATATAAGGTATACCAGGTAAGATCTAAGGTGACCCAGTCAGTGGATGAATAGCACACTCATGGTGGTCTTTTCTCTTGGGTGAAAACAAATATTTGAGTATATAAAGTAACATTATTCTGCCTGGCATTGACAAACAATATAACTATAGATAATTTGTGGTTTAGTATATTAAATGAACTCAGAAGATGGGTTACTTTGGTAACAGTGTTGAGTATGTTGTGTAAATGCATCATTGTATCACTTAAACTCTGTATTGGTAAAGCTTAGAGAGGACAAATACTCAGCAATTCTCCTACTTTCTTGGCATCTTTACTTGCTACTGCTGCAAAAGAAAAAAAATGTCAACATTTGACAAGTCTTAAGGAGGAAGGAATCAGTGAATGCAGGGAATCTTGTGTTTTGTGTTGCTCAGCAAATGTGTCTGTACTTTCTATAACTGGCTCCCTTCCCCAAGCAACACCCTGCTGACTTTGTAATGTAGAGTGAAGATGGCCCCCAGACTCAAGAGCCTGCAGCACAGTATAAGCACCAATCTCCTCATGTGGTGGAGGGCAGAAGAAATTGGCATCCTTGCAAGGGTGAAATAATGTCAGCTTTTCTGAAACTTGAGCTTTCCAGTAATACCTTGAGTTATTCTGCCTTGTTCCTGAAAAGACCAGTTCAGCCTGTCCAAATCTTGTACATTTGTCTGGGCATGTGCCCATACACACACACACACACATTGCAGGTATATTTTCCATGGATGCAGTAGCACTAAGTATGCAATACAGTTCTCCATTTTGTCACAGTGTAATAGTCTATAGGAAGGGTCCACAACTCCCAGGCCACGGACCAGTACCAGTCAGCGGCATGTTAGGAACCGGGCCACACAAAGCAGTGGGTGAGCGAGCGAAGCTTCATCTATGCATGCTTGGGATCAAGGTTGCATACAAAACCACCACCACCCGGTCCATGGAAAAATTGTCTTCCACGAAACCAGTTCCTGTTTCCAGAAAGGTTGAGGACCTCTGGTCTATAGCAATACACTCTGAAACAATGAAATTGGACTTAGTTGAAAAGAAGATAGCAAAGGTCTCTTGCTATGCTACTGTCGATAAGCTTCTTTCACTGAGGGATGATGCATAGTTAATTTCTGTAAAGGAATAAGTAGAACTTAAGGGATAGTGATACCAAGACCTTTCAGAGCTGGCATTTTGCTTGTCCCTCATCCTACTTAGAACCTCGAGTTCAGGAGAAGAGGCGCCATCAGCACCAGACCTTGCTACGAGCTGCTGTGAGCAGCATCCAGGCACCCTCTCTCCCTTGTTCCACCAGAAACACCTCTCATCTCCAGCTGGCTCCCAGCCTAGGCTCCTGCTCCCTTCCAACTACTATCAACATACCAGGTTTGTATGCCACCTTGCCTCTCTCCCTTTGCCAAAGAGTGCCTCTACAACAGAAATTAAATGGACTATTGGAGTGTGCCAGCAGGAGAGATATAAGCGGTGTAACAGGTGTAACAGGTCACTTACTGTTGACCTGTTCCTTCCAGATGTCAGTTGCACCTATATTATCTGAGTAATTAAGTGCAAGCATAGCCATTCAACTCACAGTAGGCTGCAGCGTGAAGATTCAGGGAGTTTCTTCTTTCCCTGAACTAATCTCTAACTATCCTTTTTGTTTCTTGCAAGGTTGGTTGGAAAAAAAGTTTACTGATACTAAACATAACTGGGGGATGAGAGAGATGTTTGACATTGAAGTTGGAGCAGTGCAGACCATTCCATTTACAGGGGACTATTCATTTTCTTCCCATCCACCCACTCAAGCTGTTCCAATCAAAAAAAAAAATTCAGATAGAGAAGGCTGTTATTCTTGAGCAGAACTGGAACTAACATCACTGTGATCTTAATGGTGGGTAAAAAGCAGCATAACTTTAAAAAGTTCACTATATGCTGGCAGGACAGTTTACTTATTCAGCTTAGTCTATCATTTGGAAAAAATGTTAGGCTTTCTCAAATAGGTTTTTACCTTTACAACTCAACTCAAAATGAGTAATATATATATTTAAACTCAATAGCTCAAACAATTAAAAGTCTTGGAAGGGAGGGAAAAAATGGAGGCAAAGAAGATTTGTTTGAGCCAAATCTGTATCAGCTTACAATCTTAGGTGGCAGTAATATATAAACAAACCAGCAAATTGCGTCCAATCAGTGATGGAGGTATGATAAGCTATACCAAGGACTCAGCAATTTGAGAAAAAGAAACAAGCAAATGAGCCTCTGTTCTTTAAAATACAACATTGAACTTTTGCATTTATTCTGGTTTGACTGAAAATAAGAATTATTCAAATATGCTTCTGTCTTCAAGCTTTCTAAGGATACCATCCAGAAACTGACTCTTTCTTTCACTGTTCACTAAGGAAGATACAGCCTCTCCCAATTTCTTGCCTCCATATGTATAGGCATGGTCACATTTGAAAAATATAGATTGTATTTTATTTGCAGATAAAAGAAATATAAAATCATCACCCGAATAGAATCAAACATCTGTGAAATCCAATAAAATGGTCTAGATCAGGGGTAGTCAACCTTGGCTCTTTTATGACTCGTGGACTTCAACTCCCAGAATTCCTGAGCCAGCATGGCTGGCTCAGGAATTCTGGGAGTTGAAGTCCATGAGTCATAAAAGAGCCAAGGTTGACTACCCCGGTCTAGATTTTTTATATATTTTGCTTTGTAATGTTCATTGGCTGTGTTTATGATACTCTCCCACAACTTAAACCAATTTATTCAATTTCCTCAATTTTCTTTGTTTGCTCAACACATCAAACTATAATTATATCAGCAGAAATTACATAACATGCCAGTTTAAATAGCCTCTTACTAGTTTGCGGTTCCATGATGTTCGCCTTGATGGAACTAATGTGTTGGAAGTGAGCAGCTGTTCTGATTTCAGCAAGTCTCTATGAAAACTCACCACCGTCCCTTTGGATCTTGACTGAAATCACTGCCCCAAACAATACAGCCAAGCCAATTAAATTATCCTGAGGGATCTGATACGACAAACCTCCATGTTTCTGTTAGGGATGTCATTCTGACACTCCTAAGTATTATTGATCTCATAGCTCCAAACAGGCCAAACAGAAGCAAAATGTGCCGGAGTTTTGGTATTAGTATTGCTTTTTCTGCAACTGATTGCCAATCAAATCGCAACTAAGAATTAAGAGTCTGGGGAGTTCAACTTAATGAACTTCCCTCATTTACCTTTCTTTCATTGATCATGCAGGACCCAGCTGCAACAGCCTACGTACAGCTGCTAAGGCTAGCACTGAGCATGTCCCTGAGAAGCTGAAGCCTCCACCTTGTGGCCTAGCATTGCTACAGGTAAAGGGCAGTGATTACACTGGTACACAGAGCTTGATTGCCATGGGTAGATACTATTCCCCCTAGGTTGCTAGTCCGTTTAGGGCTTTCCTTACAGTAGAGATCAATCACTGGGCTGTTAAAGAGTTGCCTGCATTACCAAACTTTAAGAACACACATTGTAGGACCCCTCTAGCACAGTGATTTCTTATCATCAATATCAGCTGAACCAATACTATGGTAGCATTGGACATACAAGCTTTACATGCAATTCGTGTCTTGCCGATACTGTCCCAACTGGTTTCTCTTTCTCCATGCAGAACTTTTCCAGACGGCTGAACAATGAAAAACTATCAGAAACTACTAGGTAATAGCAACTAGAAGATAACAAAAAATAGTAGTTTTATAAACTGGGGTAGAAATAAGATCTGTACGATTTCCCCTTTTGTGCCTACCAACATGGAAGGACCAAGTTTGGAAGAGCTTCATATTAGTCATCTGTAAGCTAGAAAACTAACACCATTCTAGAAATTGTGCATATACTTAGTGTTGTCCAGCATTCCCTTAGGATTCCTAAGGTTCCTTATTACTGGTTGACTATGATGCACAACTTCCAACGAAGTATTTTCCTTGCAGTTTAGATATACTGATGCCTCGGCCAAGCCGGATCCCCATACGCAGGAGACCAGTAGGACAAACCCAGCACTTACTCAGATTTCATAGCTGCAGTGATGACTCTTCCCTCAAGGTGTGGAAATATGCACCCCCAGAGATACCAACACAAAGTTCCTTGCCAGGTAGGTTCTTGCAAGGCATTCTGTATTGTGACCAAGACTGTTTGTCCTTTTTGGACAGCCCCTCAGATTTTCCATACTAGACAGTGGCAACAGATACAACCTTGTTTCTCTCCCTACAGAATTTCAACTGGAAATGCCAGTAACGAGTCAGAGGGAAGAATCACTTTTTATGTGCAACCCTCCCAAAGTTTTGCTGGACGAGGTATGGGGAGGAGGGAGCTCTGCAAAGCCAGCTGCTGCTGCAGCCCTTACCTGCAGCCGCTGCCATCCCCTTGAACCCTTGTCTTGTAGACAGAAGAAGAAGAAGCAACGCCTTTACCGTTGTATAGGCAGTAGCCACCCTCCTTATTGAAACTTTGGGGCAGCATAGCTGCAGTTGACATCATTAGTCCCCTGAGCCAGCTCTCTCTGTTGCAGCATCTCCCTGGGCGACCAGATTCCCCCCAACTCACCTACCGCAAGATCCTGTCTTTCTGCACTGAGGCCTGACTTGCCAGTGGGGGCACAACAGCTGCAGCCCATGTGCTCTAGGGCCTCAAGTGCCACCACCCCACAGCATGCCAGCTGACTCCAACTCATTCCTTGGTGTGGAAGAAACCTCTTGAGACCCTTCTTGTTGGCACTCGATGAGTTCGTGATCCAATCACCCCCTTCCTCTCCTCTTTCCTCTTTTAAATCAAAGCTGCTTTTTAGAACAGCAGCCAGTAGTTCTGGCTTTGAGACTTTGCCAGGAATAAGGGCCTCACATCACATCTTTTTTTGTAGCCAGCTACACAAAACATTGAAGGCTTAAGGGAAAATGGGCCCCTGACTGTTTCCCAGCAATCCTCATCTAAATCTGGGAATCCATCTCATTTGTTTTTTTTGTGAAGGAGGTGCCTTTCAAAAAAGAAGCAAACCAGGCTAATTGCAAGAAGCTGTGTAGGTGCATGTATGACACATGGAAAGCATAACATGATCAGCTCCTCCTGGTCTGACTACAGCCTAGTGCCGTGGCCAAGACCCTTCCTCCAATGTTATTTCCACCACTGTACATAATTGGTTACTAGGTTGGAAGCTATTTTTGAAACAAGTTTGTCTTATAACGTGTTTCTATAAATAAATTGCATTTGTCAGAAAAACAAAAGAAAACCTACTGCCTTTTGATTGTGTGTGTGTGTGTGTGTTGTGTATAAGAGAGACTGATGGTTCGAATCTGCTTTGGGAAGTGATGCAAAGGTAACAAGTCTCTGATTCAGAAAATGAAGTGTATTCTCTAGTCATTTATTATCTTCAGGGTTTCAACAAAGCCAAGTACAGCTATAGCATCTGGGCCTTCATGTGCTGATGGCTCTGCATTCTGTCAAAAGAAAAGGAGGGGTGGGTGTGAGACAACCACTGCATCTGGATCTGGGGGTCGGGTGGACGGCGGGGGGGGGGAAATGCAGCTGAATTACCTTTGGGGATGGGGGTAAGGAGGGGACGCTCCGGTCATTCGCTCACTCCTGCTTCTTCGGGTTGTTGACGGCCACGTAGTGATAAAGGACGACCAGGAGAAACAGCGAGACTCCAAGCATGTTGGCAAAGATAGCCAGTTGCACGTCCGTCACCATCCTGCCGGAGAAAAACCGAGAGATTAGTCCGCCACGGCCAGCACTTTAATAATAATAATAATAATAATAATAATAATAATAATAATAATAATAATAATAATAATAATAGTAAAGTTGGAAGGGACCTTGAAGGTCATCTAGTCCAACCCCCTGCTCAGGCAGGAAACCCTATACTTTGGCCGCCGGAAGGCTCGGAAGGGCCAGAAGGGACGACGGGCCCTAGAAGTCCCTCAGCGCCGCTCGCAAGCGAGCCGAGGAGAAAGAGACGTGGCAAGGCCGATTGGACTGGAGGCAACGCCACTCACCTCTCGGTTTGGGCAGCCCCCCCACCGTCCTTCTTGTCTCTTCCGAAGGCTCAGGCCGGCGACGTCAAGGCACGCCGCTCTTTCCTTCCGCTCTCTAGAAAAACTGCGGGGAAAAGGGGAAACGGAGCCCACCGAGTTCCGGAAGTACTGAAGAGACGCCGCTTTCTGCCGTGTCCTCGCGCACCGTCCTCGGCGCAGGGAGTCGAATTGCGCCTGGGCGCCCCCCGGCGGCTGAAAAGGAAAGCGTGCTCGCTCCCCCCCCCCCATCCCAGGCCGTCCTATAGGTGAGTCCCGCTGGTGTCTCTCCGTGACGCCCTCTCTCCAATCCCTTCAAACGTGTCGAATGAAAATGCGACACGCGCGTTTCAATTTATCTTTAAAAGGTGTGTTGTTTAGGTAAGATATTTATATACTCCGGGCGGCTTACACAAATCAGCCAGCCGGCCAATTCAAAATAAAAGCAAATTCTCAGCAATGGACAGGGAATTCTGGGAATTGAAGTCCACACATTTAAAAGTTTGCCCAGGTCCTCCTCCTATATAGAACAGTGTTTCTCAACCTTGACAATTTTAAGGCATGTGGACTTCAACTCCCAGAATTCCACAGCCAGCATTGCTGGCTGTGGAATTCTGGGAGTTGAAGTCCACATGCCTTAAAATTGTCAAAGTTGAGAAACACTGATATAGAATCTATAATATTGGCTGTCTATCCTAGCTTGAGAAGGAAAATTAAAATGGGCGACTATGGGAAAAAAAGGTCTAATTTTATCTGCAAGTCTTTATAAAAGAGTGGGAAGCCAAAGCCAAAGTGATACGTTTCATTAGCATAGAAAAGCTGGGTGGTTCAGATTTTCAACAGAACTATAGGTGATTGAAACTGCTTCTGGTACTAACGAGTTAATTGTTCTTTCCCTGGGATCCCCTTGAAGGATGCTAGATGTAAGCTGTAGATATAACTCTTGGGTTATATTCCAGCATCCCAGCACAGTTTAGGAAACAAAGATTATGCTAGTTCTACAGTATTCTTTGGAATTACTGTAGAAAAAAATAGCTTGAGGGGTTTATTTCAAATTCACAGTATATTGTAGATATGCTGTATTCCCTGAAAAGTGGGGAAATATATTCTGGTTTATGAGAAATTAAGACACCATATGCTACATGAGAGGAAAACAAGACTGCAGCGTTTTCCAAGACAGGAAAAAGGGAACCTACAATAGTGAACCACAAGATGGGGCTGCCATTACACACAAAGATTTCAGTATAGTTTATTTTGATGAATTTTACTAAGAAAACAAAATGAAACTCCATTAAAGTACTCAGTGAAAGGTTATTCTGTGTAATAAAACATGGTAGCATGATAGCACTGTTCCAATATTTGAAGGCTGCCACAGAAGAGGGGCCAACATATTCTCCAAAGCACCTGAAGGCAGGACAAGAAGCAATGGATGGAAACTAATCAAGGAGAGAAGCAACCTGAAATTAAGGAGAAATTTCCTGATAGCAAAAACAATGAATCAGTGGAATGACTTGCCTCCAGAAGTTGTGAGTGCTCCAACACAGGAAGTTTTTAAGACGAGATTGGACAACCATTTGTCTGAAATGGTAGGGGGTTGAGCAGAGGGTTGGTCTAGAACAGGGGTGTCAAACTGCTGGCCCACGGGCCGGTTTCATCATACTGAAGCTGCACCCACCCCATTGCCAGCAATGCAAAAAGAGTCGCGATACATCGCGACACATCACGTGACGTGGCGAATTTGTCACCCAGGGTCTAGAAGACCTCCAAGATCCCTTCCAAGTCTGTTATTCTGTCACGACCACAGGAACACTGAAACAGTCACAACTTCTTGAATAAAATTGGTCAGGACATCATGGAAATTTCAATTCCACAGCAGTTATGGATCCTGGATTTTTTACGCATTCTTTAAATTAAGAGATTTCAGGTACCTTGATTCTAAAATTGTTGCACTATAATGTACTTTTTTGGCTGACAGTACCAACAGATAAACACAGTGAGAATTTTAGTAGTATATAGTAAAACTGGTAAAAAAAGTTGTGTGCACTTGTTTTAAGAAAACAAACTGAAGCCTTGAAATTATTCTAAGCTATTCGTGAATAATTTATTCAAGACTACACTCCTAAAAGTTAACTCAGATTAGGTGGTAAGAAGCATCTTAAAGTTGAAAAATGGAGGTTAATTTAATTAATGGTGGTTAATTTCCAATTGAGTGTATCCAGTTTAGAACAAGCACACATGCCACTCAGAGAAGCTGGCAAAAAGAAAGTGTGATGTTTATTAAACTTCAGCAAAGATCAAAATAGCTGACTAGCAAAAATGCAATAAAATATAGGCAAAAAAAGGGGAGAGAAACATAAACAACAGGCAATAGTTTGCATTAGTGTTTTTCAAACTTTATTATTTGTTTGTTTATATCCCATCTTTATTATGTTTTACAAATAACTCAGGGTGGTGAACTTAAGCAACACACCTTCCTCCTCCTTTTAGTTGCCCCACAACAGCAATCCAGTGAGTTGACTTGGGCTGAGAGTGACTGGCCTGAGGTCATACAGCTGGCTTTCATGGCTAAGGTGGGACTCTAAGTTGCTAAATTAAATTAATCATTTCACACCATTGAATTTCTTTTTTTCTTCTCAAAAAAGAACACAAGCACTATAAAAACAAATAAAAATTCTGCTGAAACCATACAAAACCAACAGAAATGGAGCTAAACAGATATTAAACAAGTAAAGTCCCTTCCAGTATAAAGGGACAGTTTAAAGCAGCCACACCTAAACAGTGAAATCTAGATGATCACTGGATTACACCAAAAAGAGCTTTCTAAATTTCTAGATTTCTTTACTATTATTTTGTGGTCATAATAATACCAAGAACACTTTATGTCAATTTCTTGATACCCCAAATGGTCTTTCTTCTAGTTTGTTCTGGAAGATAGAAAAATGGTTTCCAATGTTTTATGGAGTTGGTAGAAATTTAGGTTTTATCAAGGATAGGATGAGTCTGGGTTCCTGGAGCTCTAGCTACAAGGAGGAATAAACATTCAAATATTTTCTTACATTGCTCTGTTCTATCATTGGACTCTGAGCCTTCCTGTCTTTTGGAATCTGAGCATAGAGAAACTCTGCTAAGCCTCTGGATTTTGCTCTCACTTCTTTCTGTGGACTGTAGGGCCTCTTCTGCATGTAAACTTGTCAAAAGTAAGCAAACTGCAGCTGTCAGCACAGGCTCCAATTGTGGATTTTTTTTTTTACCTTATGGGATGTGATTGTGTCAGACACAAGTATGGTAATGAATGCACTGTGTACATTTGTGTGCAACATTCAGATTTATCCATGGACTTCAACCTTCAAGTGGTATTGTGCAATCTGAAAGTTAAAGTCCATGGATAAATTTGGATTTTGGGCACAAATGAACAGCATATATTTCAACTGTTCTAACAATCACACAGTGTTTCTAAGCAAAACATGTTAATTAGAAGATCAGTATACTTGGTAGTTAATTCAAAGTGTTTCGACCTTTAAAGCAGGGGTCCCCAAACCCCTGTCCATGGATTGGCACCAGGCTGCGGCATGCCAGAAACCAGGCCGTGCAAACAAGTGAAGCCCCATTCATGGGATGCAGGCAGCACACAAAACCATGCCCCCTCTGGTCCATGGAAAAACCTCTCTCCACGAAACTGGTCTCTGGTGCCCAAAAGGTTGGGGGCCACTGCTTTAAAACCCTAAATAGGATGAGGTTACCTAATGAGTGCCTCTTCCTGAATGTACCTACCCAGACCTTAGGATCTTCTAATCCTCCAGATCCCCCCCCCCAAAGGAAGTGAGGTGTTAAGAAAAATACTTTAAAACTCAGATGAGGCCAAGTTAGGGAAATATTTTTCTTGCTAGATACGTTTAGGATTAGTATTTGGAGATAAGACCGTGTAGATTTCATGTAGACATCATGGACAATAATTGTTGATAGGCTGAATTTTCACAATATATTTAAGGCTGCTATTGAATTAGCATGTTTTCTGGCTTGGATAATACATTGAAAGTTCAGTGACTTTTTGATAAGTCTCCATCCATTACTAAAGCCCTCAACTGCTTTAGATAATAGGTTGTCCGCCCCCTTCCCCCATACATTGTACCATAACTAAACAATAAACACATCTGCTAGGTCACTATTAAAAATTAGTCACGCTTAGTT